TTTTTTAACTAAGTTGGATAGACGATTTCTTAAATATTTCCATTAAATTGAGGGGAATTTCCCTACTTTCCGCATGGTGGATTTTTTTCAAAATTTTGATATCTATTTTATATTTGTCCACCAAACACACTGCATTAATGAATTGGATGAGAAAAAATTCCTTCTTACCTAAATTACGCTTTAACTGAGTCAAATTGACAATTTCTTATATTTTTTTCTTCAATTGAGGGGAATTTCCCTACTTTCCGCACGGTGGATTTTTTTTAAATTTTAATATGTATTTTATATTTGTCCACCAAATATATTGTATTAATGAATTGGATGAGAAAATATTCTTTCTTGCATAAATTATGCTTTAACTGAGTTGGATAGACGATTTCTTAAATATTTTCATTAAATTGAGGGGAATTTCCCTACTTTCCGCACGGTGGATTTTTTTTAAATTTTAATATCTTTTTTATATTTGTCCACCAAACACATTGCATTAATGAATTGGATGAGAAAAAATTCCTTCTTACCTAAATTACGCTTTAACTGAGTTATATTGACAATTTCTTAAAAATTTTCCTTTAATTGGGGGGTATTTCTCAACTTTCCGCATAGTGGAATTGTTTTAAAATTTAATATATGTTTTATATATCTTCATCAAATTCACTGTATTAATGAATTGGATGAGAAAAAATTATTTCTTGCATAAATTACGCTTCAACTCAGTTAAATTTTAGATTTTGTCGATAAATGAGCTTCTGAGCAATAATCCATTTTATCGAGGAAAAAATGTGTTGTTTCAATCATTTTTGTTTTTTATTATGTTTCAGGTCTGTCGTCAGTTTCTAAAAGGGAGAATCGCCTCATTTTTTGCATCCATGTAGCCGCAATTAAGTGAATTCGCGACAACTGTCGTGGAACATGGCGGGTTCAAATTTGAAAAAATTGGTAACTGTCCGCTGGAAGTTGCGCTAGCTTTACCTAGGTCCATCAAATATATGGGGGAAGGAACAAAATTGAAAATAATAAGCATGAAACCATTGATGTATTATTTGATAAATCTGTTATGCTTTAAATATGTACCGGTATAGTGTTATTTCATTTAAATTTCAAAGGTATCTACCGTATTTATTGTATATCATCAACATGGATAGAAAGTGAAAAAAACTATAGCCTAATCATTTTTTTTTTCTAATTTATTTTTTCCAAGTTTTTCTAATTTATTGAATACTTTTATTTTTTCATGCAAATTAATTACTGATGGCAATATAATTATAAATTAATAAAATGACACCAATCAACTATAGTACTGAACTTCAAATAGACATGGATGTAATATGTATATATATGTGATTGATAAATTGGTATTGTATGATTATATAATTCAATTAAAACCATGATATTCAAAATTCTAAAAAATGATTAAAAATCTTGATCTAATTCGGGAACTAATAATAAAAAATAAAAAAAAAAGGCAAAACTTGCAATGCAGCAATGTGATATTTTACGTTGTTGCTTTGAGATGTACAGTATTATCGGACCAGTGAGACAGTATTTATGCAGATTATCTTACTGTAAAGTGTGACGCACTAGTACAAAATGAATTTACGTTTCATGTAATATGACCAACTTAGTACGTTACGCGGTACCGGTGTGCTTTTGAAAGCAATAATAGACTAGCAATAAGACATTCATAAATTGTCACTGTCTTTTTTTTCTTTGGTTCCTTCTCATAATTAACTTTATACCCTTTTATATTGTTAGAATTCCTTGTATAATGAAAGCAATAATAGACTAGCAATAACCATTCATAAATTATCACTGTCTCTTTTTTTCCTTGGTTCCTTTTCATAAATTTATAACCTTTCATATTGTTAGAATTCCTTGTGTAATAAGTGATGAAATGTATATTTGATTGTTGATCATACATTAATATTTCTGTCTATTTCAAGTACCGCATATTCGCGCATATAGGGCGAGTTCAAACCTTAAAAAATGTGCCAAACTAGGTGACCGGCTTATTCACGCATAACTCAGATCAAACCAAAAAATCGGCACATTTGCGCATGACTTCGATCACGTAACGAGATGATATTATGCTGACTTGTCTGTAATTCCAACAGCTACAAACCATGCTTAGTTCTCATGTTATCGATTTACGGCCAGCCTTTCCGTGGTCAAACGTTATTATCTGGAGCGCTATCGCTGTAACGCAAAAACGCCGCCCGACTTTTAATCACCTCTATATACGTGACCGCTTTTGTATGATTTTATCTTTTACTTTAGAACAACAGTGTTGATTTTCGCCAACTGTTTCTGGTCAAAACGTTATCATTTGGTAGGCTATCGCCGTAACACAAATACTGCCGCCTGACTTTCAATCACTTTTATACACTGACCACTTGTATTTGATTATTTGATATTTGATTTGTATTTGATTTGTATTATTAACAAAGTGAACTGTATATTTAATTGTGAATCATATAATAATTTTCCAGTTTATTTACAAGTAGGCTATGTATAGATACTTATGAATGTTGGTAGCTACTAGACTGACAATATTCAGTGATTATTACAATTTTTTCCCTGCATTCCATTCCATGTCGAGTATGGGATTAGTTAGGTATTTGCTTTTCTGAAGCATGGACTTGATGGTGGAGGAAGCCGTTACTTTTATATCATGCTCTCGCTCTATTGCTGAATCTGGGATGATATTATATCTTGTATCCTCAAATTCCATTTTTGATCCCGGTATGTGCCCAATAAAAAAAAGGTTTTTGTGAAAATCTTCCCATTGGACAAATCCAGCTTCAACAAATACATGACCTATAAAATCCAAAATTGCCCTTAATAACTTCTTAATATCATTAAATTGCTGACTCATTTCTTTATTTTATTTTATATATTTATATTTATTCCCATTTGCATCCACCTATAGTACTATTTTATGCCATGATGAGCCTATATACTGCATATACACAAGGGTCGGGAGCCTAGATGACTTTACTGGGCCGGATGATCAAAATTCAGTATGATCAGAAACGATTATTTGCAAATACCTAGAGTTCTAGACACAATGATCAATGGGCCGTTATTACAGGGGCTGGCAAATTGCGGCAGCAGCGCAAAGAAAGTTGATAGAAAAAAAGCTTAACAGCTGGGCTAATGGGCTAGTATAACGTTAATAATAAAGATAGCACAATGTAACAATTGCGGTCATGATGACCGTATTTGATAAATAGATTATTCAAATCAAAGAGAATAAATGATGCGCATTCCCGTCGTTTACGAACAAAATTACTGTAACTTGTGATTTAGGAGGCAAGTGTTATTTGATTGATTTTATTTTGTATCCAAAATAAGAAACGGAAATTCCAATGGCAACAGTCGACGTGATTACCCAATTTTGCCGAATTTTTCACCGTTGATGGTTTTTCTGTTGCGCAAAGTATTCAGTTCAAGACTATTACGAGAATTAATAATTGTCTTGCTATATCAATTTAATATATAATATAATTGATTTAATTATATTATAAGAAAAGGAGCGAGCGATCTTGGTCATTTGATTAATTTGAGCCACTTAAGATTATTTTTAAGAAATCACCATTTGCAAAATTCCAAGGTAGGTCATAAAATCCCACGAGTACAATTCATTACGATAAAGTAAAAGCTCTGCAAATTTGAAATAATGCGGCGATATGGCGCAGCACAAACACATATTTGGGAACCGCTGGGATTTCCTATAGTTTCCGATCCGATGAAAAATAACGAAATTTTTGGGATTTACCAGGTCAAAAATTGAGCTCTGAAAACGAAATTTATGATGTTCTGCATTATATTTTGTGATATATATATATATATGGTATATTTTATGACTCCGCTCCTTCCTTACAATAATCACTTCCTCATTTTCAGTCGCTAATTGGATTTGCGGATTAAATTTTTAGTTTGTATTTAGTCTCTCGTTTCAGATGACCACACAATAAGGAGTTTTGCACACTTCACGCACAGTTCTACGGAAATCCTTTTCTCGACGTCCTCATAATACAGGAATAATTCCCTGTAATATAGTTTACCGATATATTACTGATGTTCACGTCTTGAATACCCTTGACATGCTGAAGTAACTATCAGCGATTTCAACTCAATCCCCCTCCTGTACTAGACAGAAGTAAACAAAATGTATTGGGACATCCACGAACACGCGCGTAGCAAAATGCAGACCAAAATGCTGATATGTCAGGAGCTGGCGTTTTTGAATTATTGTACAGAAATTATTCAGGTGGTTTTATGTTTATATTCAGGGCTGATAGTACGTGTGGAATTACAATATTTACATTTGCGGACGATTTGTTGTTTTTCCGATCTCTTCAACGATAATTTTTATGTATGAAAACTATAGCCTAATTTCAGCACAAACAAGTGGGCCGGATCCGGCCCACGTGCCGTAATTTGCCCACCCCTGCTTTAATCGATCTTGCACACCGACCCGCACAAAGCAATAATCAAGCACTGTTATTACTGCTGAAATATTTTTCGTTATTGTATTATGTTTATAATAGTGTTGACTTTGTTTTGTGGCAATAAATCTCTCTCTCTTTTCTCTAAATGAGGAGAGTTTTATGAGCATCTTGGAACAAAAAGCCCATCACTGGAGGCACATTTAAGTTCCAAACTTCGGATTTGCATCTTTTCAACTGCAAATATTTTTCAATCTTGAATTCTTAAATTAGCAAATCTGAAATCCAGAATTCAACTAACACAAAACAGCAGGATATTGCGGATAATTTAATGTACATATTTCGAGTCCATACTTTGAAACACAGTTCGTGTTTTCCTACTTTAGCTGTTTATCACGTCTTTCATCTACATTCCTGGTTAAAACTGCAGAACATTTGAAGTCTGAACTAAAAAATGAAAGAGGAAAATATATTGTACAGAATATCAGTTATCATCTTTTAAAGATGTATCCAAATTTTTTCACAGGTATTTTTGCTAATATTGAATATTATTACAAAATGAAGATTTTGTCAAATTTTTGCATTCAATTGCCTAAAATTGAATTACATGCACATCTGAATGGAAGTCTCAGTGAAGTAACTGTGAATGGGCTGCTTAAAGACAATTCAACCTCGGACATTAAAATTGGTATGCCATTAGGCTATATTTACTCCTATTTTGATATAATTCCATATTTTCTTTATTAATTTTTTTTCAAATATTTGTGAAGTATTATACTCAAAGCTAGTTGTTTATTATTACATTTTATTCAATACCACAAGAACAGACCACTGTTTCTCCTCTTTCACAAGATCTTACTGTATCTTGAATGTACATATATATTATTTTTAATAACTTGATCAACAACATAACTGCTTCTCATATATTACTATCAGTAACTGCCTATACAGAGCCTTGTTTAAAAATCAAGCACATGCTATGGTATTTAAAAACCCATATATATCATATTCTAGACTCAACATCCATAGAGAAGGGAGCAAAAAGAACTTTAAATGACTGTTTTGAAATGTTTAAAATTATTCAAAAGTTGACAGACAGAGCTCAGGTGACTTAAAACACATTTATACGAGGTGCTATCAGGGATGGGCAATGTAGAATAATTTACTATTCAAGAATATTCTAGGACAGGGCTACTCAACTATTTTTACCGAAGGTCCATTAAGAAATCTTCAAACTTACTGGGGTCCGGACATTACAGAAAATTTATTTCAATAAAGAAACAAAATTTCAAATGCAATATTAAATTAAATACAAGAGCAATGAATAACTCACAATTATGGATACAAGTGTCGCACAGCGGTACCAGTACGACAAACTGTGTAGTTGTGTATGTAAATGGTATCAAAAATCATCTAAAACTATAAAACGAGGCTTATGCTGCCAAAATAAATAAGCAGACGGTCCATATTGAATGATCGAAAGGTCTGGATTCGGACCGCGGCCCGACAGTTGAGTAGCCCTGTTCTAGAATACCTAAATCGAATACCGAATTCTATTTTTATACTCATTTATTTAAATAGTGAGATTTCCACATATTTCTGAATTGAAATTTAAGGAAAATAGTAAATGTCCTAAAACTGTTTTTGTATTTAATTGGAAATGTCCTGATCATTGGATACCAAACAGTCGTTTTTCAGGACAATTAATTTTAAGAATTGTAACAATATTTTTTTTCCTTGAACTGTATAAAATTCATGTAATCCCTAAATACTGATTTGCCAAATTAGAACATGCATTATATATTTCAATAGTAAACTGGTGAGATACTTGGCCCTACTCAATACGTGTTTGCATAATACCCCGCAATAGTTAGGCCAGATATAATTACCGTAACTAACTATTATTACCAAATGCGGCAACTTTTTTTGATTTATCGCTGACTAAAATACCACAGCACACAACCAAACGTGTGTCGATCTTGGGCGATAGGATCAACGTGGTTTTCAAAAATATATAATTAATTGGGAGTGAAAAAATAAAATAATGTGCCTTGATTGCGATATAACTTTGTATTTTCATGGAAGGACTGTCATTAAAGCATTTAAATTACCGTTATGCACAAATATTATACATAATATATATTATACAAAATTAATCAAAAATAATATTATAACTTTTATAACGCATAGCTGCTTGTTTACATCATTTCATTGGGATAAAATCGTAGGTTGCAAAAAATGAACAAAAGTGAGAAAAAATGCTCGTTATCGATTAATAAATTAGAAACCCGAACCGAAATACAGAAATTGACACTTGGCGCCGAACTGGCGGAAACCGAATCCTGTTATCGGATGCTCCGGATTGGATCTTCTGGAGTGCCCATCCCTAGATTGTTTTAGATTTTTATTTACAGTTTGTTTGTGTGGAATTGTTAATGTATTTATTTTTATAAATAATATTTCCACTAAATTGCCAAGAGCTAATGAATTATAGTGCAGAATTGTGTGTTAGTAAATACGTGAAATGATGCAATACATAAAGCAGCCAATATGTTCATGAAAACAGTTATTGGGTAGTGAACACCAAATAACTGAATTTCTTAGAAAAAACTGGGTATAAATTATTTTTTGTCCACCAAGTACACTGACTTTAAATGTGTGTATTTGTGAGAATGTATAATGTAAGAATAAAATTTTTAGTATGTGGTTGTATTGAGGTCTTAAGTTCTTGAGACTTAACGCCTTGAGATTCCTGCCATCATTGAACAACATATTGAAAAACAACTTGAAAGATCTACTTTTTACACGACACAAGCCATCACCAACAGTGCATGCTCACAGGAATCTTTAACAACTTTGAAAGACTCAATCAACGAGATCAAAACAGTAGTAACATCCCTCAGTCAAATTAAAAATGAGATCTATGAAATGAAGGAAAGCCAGGATTTTATGAGCTTCGTTTGATGAACTTTCTTCCAACCAAAGTGAGCTCAACAAATTAGCAATCGAAACAAAAAAGAGTGGCTAATTCAAAAAATCTAGTGGAAGAACTAGAGGAGAAAATTGACAGAGTGACAGCAAGACCAAGAACGTCGCTCCAATTCTGCAGCATACCATATACAACGAGTGAAAACTGTGGAAACCTGATTATCGAAAATTGATGTTCCCTTATCATTCAACATCTCGAACTGCCACAGATCATCAAAAAATAATAAAAAGAAACCATCACCAATAATTGCTAAGTTTATCAATAGAAAAACAAGAGACCGAATACTAATGAATTGCAGCAAATCAAATCTCTTGACATTTCTACCGTTTTTCCAAAAATTTCCAAGGTATTAATCATAGAAAATCTATCATATCATTTGTTTTGATTGTTATTGGATATTTCCATCATTCTTTGCATGCCTTGATGCTCTAAATTTCCTTGTTATGATTTACCTCTACCAAACCTTTAATACAGTGGTTGATTCGGTTTCCCAAATTTCATGTATGTAGCCATAATTCCAAAACTATTTCCCTCCCCTCTTGTGGTTGCTTGAAATCTGCCTTCATTATTGACGTCATCTGCTTACATGTTTCTTGCACGTTCTTCCTTTATAGTTCATTCGTGGCCCTTCGTCTATTGCAGTTGAAATATTGTATTTTTGTTATATTTTTCTCTCTCGATTGATTTATTTTTTCATTGTACAATATTTCATGCACGACGAAAATAAAATATCTGGATCTGAATCACTATCTTTTAATTCTTTTTTTTTTTTTTTAGGTAGCATTTTCACACCTTCTAATTTATGTACAATATTCTGAATGAAGTATACATTAATATTGATGAAATACATCATTTCTGTTACTCACCTTTATGCAATTTAATTCAGATAATTACAGAAGTGACTAAAAGTGTGATTGATGAGTTTGCACAAGATAATGTGATGTATTTAGAATTGAGGAGCACTCCACGAAATAATCTAGAAACTGGGTTGACCAAAAGAAATTATATAGAAGCTATTTTGACTGGTAAGTAAAATATCATTCTTGTTCTCTGTGGACTAGCAAGGTGCCATCCCCGTTGGGGAATCTTATTATCATTGTTTTTGCAAATTTAGTACCTTTTCATGTAAAGTACTTTTTTTGAACCAGCTTCCCTAGGATACTGGCTGGAGCTGTTTAATTTTAAATGAATTGTCTATAGTCCCTTTTTTTATTTGTGCTTCACTTTAATAAGCTAAACATATTTCTAAATAATTAATGATACTTCATTTAGGTATTAATGAATATCAACAAAAAAATAATGAATCCATCATTGTAAAATTTCTGGTTTCAATCGATAGAAGGCGTGGAGTGGTGGAAGCAAAGGAAAATCTAGAATTGGCAAAAGAATATTTCAATAGGCCAAATAATGTTGTTGTAGGTGAGGCTATAGAATATGAATATAAATAATATAATATAATAAGACTAACTAAGCACTAACTAAGCTGTCACCGATATTTAATGAGCTACTACTTTTGAAAGAACCGGAATCTTTCCTGTACGACATTGCCTACCCAATTTATTTCAAGCCGGGTGTAGTTGTAGCAGGCGTTGGATTTGAACCAGTGAGGTATAGCCTGCAATGCTAACAACATTAATAAATCTAAAGCTTGAACCATGCCCATGAATTTCATGACTGATTATACCCATTTAGATAATTAACAGAGGCAATAATGTGTTCGACATATTTTTTTGGTTGGTCTAACCATCTCAAAAAATGAATAATCATTTTTTGGTACTAGAAAGACTTCATAAGAAGTGTAAACATATGGATTAGTACTCTTGCAACTTTTCTGAATTTTCCTGTTCAAATTCAAAGAAATATAGCTATAAATATATGTGGGGTGTTTCACATTTGGACTATTGAATCGCATTTTATAATATTTTTACGAATATTGGAGTCGCAGCCAGAGTCATAATTTCAATTTTCAACTCCAGAGTGGGAAGTTGAAGCCTGAGTAACTACAGACTTGTAATGGTGGTGATGGTAATTGAAATCAAATCAGAGCAGCTGATGGCATCTGCTTATTTTTAAATTGGCGAATTGATAACTGAATTTATTTTTTCGTACTAGTTTTAGTTTTCTATTATATGTAATGAAGCACTATTCCTTCATGTCAGGAGTGTTATCCTAGAAGTACCAATATTTAATATTCTCGCTATGGAAATTCATTTTGCAGGTATTGATCTGAGTGGAGATCCTCATGTTGGTAATGCAGAAGATTATATTCCATTATTGGAGGATGCAAAATCAGCAGGACTGAAATTATCTTTACATATGGCCGAAATTAATGGACTTGATGATGAAAATATAAAACTTTTAGGATTGCCACCTGATCGCATTGGTCATGGTACCTTCTTGTACGAAAATGAAGAATGCAGGAACTTGGTGCTGAAGAGAAGGTTTTTCTTTACTTGAAATATTATTATCTAATTTGAAAATTCAATAAACTAGTGATAAGCAAAGTAGTTGGAAGAGTTGGCATCTCAGGTTATAAACCTCTAGTTTAAAACCTTATGCACCTCACCCAGGGGGTAATACATACGTAGATAGGCAATGCGGGATTGGGAAAGTTTCTTTACATCCTTTACAAAACTCTTTACATATATGTCATTGGTTGACTGTTTAAAATGAAAGCACCTCATAAAAAGACATGTAGTACAGCCATGATTGTACAAAGATATGTGTTTTATATAAAGCTAGGAATTTCAGTGAGAAGCTTTGATCTTTAACCACACAAATTTGACCAGGTAAACAATTAACTACTGTTTTATTATGTCAGAGGTGCAGCATAAAATGACACTGCCTAAATTTGTGCTTTGTAATAGCAAAATTAGGCCTCTAATGTTACAATTCTAAAGCATTTCCACATAAACTACAAAAAATGCCAACAAATTTGAATATTTAATGAGTGAGAGGCAATTTGGAATCGATAAACTTCTCATTACAATATTACTATGATTAACAAGTTGTTATATTTTCTTGGTGTTTGCCTTATCGAAGAGATAAGTGATATCATGTTTAATGAAAGACCACAAGGTAAAATATGTGCGAATTATTTTTCCTAGGGGAATGTATATTGAAAGAGGGAGTACAATGCTAATTAGTGGTCAAAATTAATTGTAGCAATCATTGAAAGTTTAAAAACACTTTACCAGATAACTATTCCCAGCCCTAAGTATAAGTTACAGGCATTCGTACATTTACAAGTATTTTCATTATCTGATTTTAGAATACCATTTGAAATTTGTTTGACATCGAATGTAAAGGGTGGGACAGTGGAAAGTTATGCTGAAGATCATCATCATATGCACAAGTGGTTAAAAGACAAACAACCTGTAGTTATATGCACTGATGACAAGGGTGTTTTCAGCACCACACTATCAAATGAATATCTCATTGCAGCTCAAAATGGTGGAATGTCTTCAGAAGATATTTACAATTTATCGTTTGAATCTATCGATCATATATTTTCCAATGACATTACGAAAGACATTTTACGACAAAAGATGAAAAATTGGAAACAAGAAAATATGTATTATTTCATAAATTGATTATTGTTAATCAATCATGAAATCACAAAAACTGGCTGATGGTGTAATTTTTTAACACTAGTTCAATTACCCAAAACAGACTTCTTCAGAATATTTCTAATTGCTGATTTTTGGTATTGATTTCTCGATTAATATTTATTTTTGCTAATGCCAAACTTTGACTTAATCATAATTTTGTCATGCAATCAATACAATTATATTTTAGCAGAACTTACGGTCTCCCCTAGTATGTGAACCAAGATGGCGGGCACCGGAACGTAGTATGTGTACCAGGTTAGGGTTAGGCCATACTTTTATTCCAATTTTCTTTATTTTAGTTTTATTACCAGTTCAGAGACTAGCCAAGTGACTCCCGTAGTATTTGTACCTAAAATTATGGCCTCACCCTAACCTGGTACACATAATACGTTTCTAGTGTCCGCCATCTGTGATTCACATACTACGGAGTACCGAATTTACAATTAAAATATTCAAAAGATATGTTATTAGAAATATTATACCTAAGTTCACTACTTTTGTTCTACCTTTGTAAAGCTCTGTAAATTCTCTGTAAAAAGTATTTGTTTGGAATGATTGCCAACAATGACTTTCAATTTTTATTCTGATTAGTCTGAACAATTAATTAAATCATTATTGTGGAGAATGGAAAAATTGTCAAAATATGATGACGGATCCATCTTTGGTAGCATTCTTGTTTTCGTGATTTAAAATCTTCTTTGTTTTATCCCAATATCTTTGTTGTCGATCATTTAAATTTGTCAAATTTCGTTTTACAGGGTATGAGTAAAATGCAAAATGATAATGTCAGTCTTACAGACCAATGTCAGTCTTATGAACCTTTGCGAATTTTCATTTGATAACTCTTCTTCACAAACTGCTGTTGAGTACTATGGGGAACAATATAACAACGGAAGTCAAGAAATTAAAAAGAAGTCAATAACTTATGAAGAATTAAAGATTGCATACAACCGACTGAGTCAAATTCTTCAGTCTGTAACTTGCTCGTCAAATTGTGTTATTGGACTATTCGTACAGCCATGTTTAGAGTTGGTTATTGCCATACTTGGAATCATGAAAACCCAATGTATCTTCGCCCCTCTGGATGTGAAAATTTCGACAGATTTTTTCACAAGAATGATAAACAAAGCAGGAATGAAGTATTTGATTGTACATTCAAGACAACAAAAGACAGTGGAAGAAAAATTTGGTAGATTTATCGAAATAAACACAGACTTCATGAAATATGCATCAACAGAATTTATCTCAAACACTTAATTCTGTTTAAGATAGCAGAAAGCTCGCAAATCAGAGGAATTGATCTTAATATGTCAAATATTTCTTATATTGTTCATACATCTGGAACGACTGGTGTGCCAAAAATAATCACAGTACCTCATAAATGCATTGTTTCAAACATTGTGCATTTAGCAAAATTGTTTCATATCGATAAATCAAGTAAAGTTGCTATGGTTTCACCTCCAACGTTTGACGCAAGTATAGTAGAAATGTTCATTACATTATCGAATTGTGCGACTTTAATAATACCCTCTGAAATGATCAAATCGCAACCTTCTGAGTTAATAAATGTTTTACTCAAAAAAGCGAAGATTACCATTCTTCAGGCAACACCTTCTTTGATGAGAAGATTCCATATTGATGATTTAAGAACTGTTGTGTTTAGTGAAACCGCAAGTTTGAAATATATGACTTTAGGTGGTGAATCTTGTCCATCTTGCAAAAGTTTGAGAGAATGGATAAACCCTGATGCAATAAATATTCAATGTAAATTTTTAATATATATGGTATTACTGAGGTCTCATCATGGGCATCTATACATCAAATCTTAGAAAATGATATTTTATCAGCTGATGATTCTGCAATTCCAATAGGAATTCCATTATGGAAAACATTTTTTGAAGTAAGAGATGAAACAACAAATACGGTTTTGTGTACAATTTCTTCGCCAAAGACTCCAAATTGCAATCTTTTTGAATCAAATTCCGATAGGTCTTATTCATATCAATTGCACATATCAAATATAAAACAATCTAACCATCAAAGTGGTGCAGATAAAGGTATAACATTTTGCGGGAAGTTGTTCATTGGAGGTAAAGATCGATTTTGTCATGTCTTGGGTGATAAAGATCATGAATTCAAAGACACTGGAGATATTGTTAATGCTACTATACAGAATGACAAAACTTTGAAATTGTCTTTTGTTGGAAGATGTGACTCTATGGTGAAGAGAAATGGGAAGAAATTGAACTTGTTGAGCATGTCTAAAACAATATGTCGCATTGTAAACAGCACAGTTTGTCATGTATTGCCAATCGCGACAACATAAAAGGGGTACAGATAGTTGCTTTCATCTCACCTCTTAAAACTTCAAAAAATAGTGAGTCAGAAATGATGTTTGATAGTAGTTCTCAAGATATGAAGAGATGGACATTTGAATGTTTCAGAAAGTTGACACTGGAACTTGAACCCTTCCTCATGCCAGACAAAATTATTGCAATTGATATTGTTCCAGTAACCCCACATGGAAAAATTGACGAAAATGAATTAAAAAGAATATATATTGCAAAACAACATAAAAAAGTCACCGCCATTACAAAAGAAATTATAAATAAAGCAGTTATTTCAATATTGCCGATAGTCCTTCGCAAAGATATGACCAAAATTGACAATATTCAGAAGTATTCTGAAAAAAGTTTTGTGCAACTGGGTGGGGATTCTTTTGCTGAAGTTTTGTTTCTCAACTGCCTGGAAACATTTCTTGAAGCTCCTATTTTTAAAGTTGAACCTAATATTATGTCTATACTACACAATCACATAATAAAAGAATTTGTTGAATTATTAGCAAAAAAATTCAGAATATATAAAGAGGATTCTTGCTTGGAATCACAATCTAAAAAACGGAAAACAACATTGACAGACACAAACAATCCTGCAATAAATCACCTCAATAGTTCAGAAATGGAGGTTGTTGCTATCGGTAGAGGACGAAGATTATACCATGTTGCTAAAAACAAGAATAGTGTTTCAACATTGAATACACTTCCTGCACAACATAATGTTCTTCACAAAATGAAATTGGTTTGGAAATATGATACAGGAAAATGCATTGATGCTTCACCATTAATTTCTTTCTACAAATATCAGGATGGAATATGTTATATAGGTGTGATATTAACTAACTTGCTGTTTTCTGTTATTGGAGGCTTGAATTTATTTCTTGTTAGCAAGGATGTTAAAAATGAACAATCTGCTCCTCTAAATACATGCTGAAGTAATATTTGAATGGGTGATTTTGCGAAAGCTAATGTAAATCCATGAAATTTAGTAATGTAGAATAGTTATTAAAACTGATTTGAAAAATATCATAAATCAAACAATGTCTGTTTTTTGTCTGATCATCAGATGTCAAATGTTAATAAAAATTAATCTTCAAATATAAATATTTTAAATCCTTTCTCAAATACTGTATATTTACTATATCAACTGTAACTTTTTTACAATGCATTGGGGTATTTTATTCGTTTTGAGCCTTCCTACCTATTTTGTTGCGTAATTGGGTAAGTTATTTGATGTTAAGAAAATTCTAATCTGTATTGTTTATTAATCATCCCACACGTTATTGTTATATTTATGTTCAGGATCTCACAGCCATTTATTTTCTGCTGTTTCTTTGAGAACTGGCAACAGCGTATGGAATCATGAATTACCTGACAAAATAGAATCATCTGCTTGTCTAGTACCAGTCAACAATGGAGGAGTCGTCTGTGTTGGTTGTAATGATGGTTGCATTTATTTCTTTGAAGCTTTATGTGGTGAAGTAAGTTAATTGCTGGGATTATAGTGAATAAATATTTTCTATTCCTTTTGTTGGATCAGTGTTGAAAATATTGATTTTAGTCTGTTGAGTTTTGCTCAAAAATATAGTATTTTTCCTCTATATCCAATTATAAGCTTTACATTTAAATTATAGTACAATTGTTCTTCAATAATAACTCGCATAGAAAAACCCCCTATGCAATAATATGACGGAGTTTGACCAATCACACTGACTAACCAATTGACATGAGAAGGAATAGACAAGCAATCACACTCACACATATACCGTAATATTCAATGGTTTTGTAATAAAGAAGTTACATCACATGTTCTAAAAGGGTATTTAGGAATTCAGTATAACAGATGATACAATGCTTCATACTTTTCATTAATTACATGCATGTGGCAAATTGGTATTAATCTGTGGTTTTTTTTTATTAATGCAGATTTCATGGAAATTTCAAACTGGATCTCATGTTAAATCATCTCCTTGTTGGTTGGAAGGAACATCATTTGTTTATGTTGGGTCGCATGATGGATTTTTATATTCATTAGATATTGAAGTATGTCTTTATATTTTTTTCGGTGTCTTAGCTCATTTTTGATGTTATTCTGTTAGATATTCATAAAGCATAGGATTTTATACTCGGCTGGCGGGGGAAAAAATTGACACAACTTAATAATTTGGCTAACCACACGGTTTGGCCTCCTGGACAATAATCTGGATCTGGGCTTGATTCGGGAATAATCAGGCCAGTTATATTTTACTTAAAATAATAATAATTTTATAATAAAATATTTTTATTACAGTAAATTGTGTTCCAGATAGGTTTTCCATTTGGTAACTGAATAGACTTTGGATATTTTGACTGTCTATGGATGAATATAATTACAAGTTTTAAAATCAAAATCTTTCAAATGAGAAAATAACACAGACTTGTAAGATTAATTTTCATGTTTTGATATATCAAACAGACAAGAAAATGTCAATGGAAAATTAATTGTGATGGAGGTTCTGTGTTTTCTTCTCCTGTTACATACCAGGCACCCAAACAGGTGAATCAATTTAATTTTTTGTGTGTTTTATTTCCAGCCACTGGCATCTTATCCCGGGGATACTTCTGTACAAAAATAGTTTTAATCTGAAAACCTTGGCCTTACAACCATTTTTGAATTACTTAAATAAATGTCACTAAATTCTCTTTCCTAATTTCATTGCGAAAATTCATTGCACAATTTTACTGAGAACAATAATAAATAATAAAAATAAAATATTCGCTTTAAAAAGTTGTTTTCAGAGACAAAAAATCTGTTCTATTCAGTGGTCATTTTTTTAGGCAATGTCTTCTTATGATGATGCTTAACAGGTTTCGACTCTAGGATCCAGGTTGTGATTATTTAAATTTTACTGCAGGCTGAATTTAAAAGTCCTCTTGTACATATTAGCAGTCCTGAACTGCTGTTATACTTGTCGCACAACTGTGTCTCAAGACAGTGAGGTCTTGAACATGTATCCCGTCTCTGATATACTGTTTAAATATTATGCAGATACTGTTAACTTTTTGAGGCAAATAATCACACATACATACATATTTGTGTTTTCAGTCATTTGCTGTGGTCATCATTGCAACACTTGGAGGCAAAGTTTTGTCTCTCTCAGCTGTAGATGGGAATTTAATTTGGAAATATAATGTTGGGAAACCTGTATTCTCATCACCTTCTGTGAATGAGTATGGAGTCTGTGTTGGATGTGTTGACTGCATTGTTTATTTCTTTGATATAATCACAGGAGAAAAGGTATGCTGGATTTGAAAGTATCACTAGTTTTGCAATTTTATTTTTATGTCCCTGATATCTTGAAATATTATCTCAACTGAATATTAGAGCTCTTCAGATTATCACTCTATTATATGAATAATTTATTAACTGGGTGTTAAGATATAAAATGATACTATGTTTTCTGGACAAAAATAATATGATATCCCAACGCATTGGAGTTGGCGCCATCTGGCTTTATTGTATTTTATCATTATAACACAAGTACTGACTGATATTCCAAGTGCTTTTACATCAAAACTGACTAGGTGCAGAAATTTTATAACGTTTGTGGAAAAGTTTGAAAATGTTCTTGCCGCAGACAGCAAGATTATTGAAACAGAATTGACTGTAAACGAGTTGATATACGCTCCCTGACATATCCAGTTTTTTCTGGAGTCCCTCGGGGCTCAATTATTGGACCTACATCGTTCCTAATATTCATTGAAGATCTTCAAGATAACCATATTTGCAATTGTTCATTTATGCAAAGGCAACATCTAGGATAGGTGATCATGTGAACGTATTGAACCTCCTAGAACTAGACCGAATGCAAAATAAATATCGAATATGTTCGGCGTCCGACCGGCAAATTCTTTCCTGTGAACGAAATGTTGAGTCGATGTGTTTATTATACAGGAAGTATTATGTACTGTGTTTTTCTGAGATTTCCCAACTTTGTTTTTCAAACAGAGTGACTGTGTTGCTGATTATATTGACATGAATGAACTGAACTGCTTTAAGTTCCACGTCAATTACTGACGCGTACATCATAATGATATAGTCTCAGTAGCTCATGGATTTTAGTTGTCGCCCTTAACTTCGCTCAGAGAGCAATCTGATATATATCTGAGTGGGTGTTTGGCCATGCTTTGAGCAATTCTCTTAAGAGAATATATGTCGTTATAAATTAGGTATTTACTCTTTTACAGTTATGGTCCTTTCAAACTGAATGTCCAATATTTTCATCCCCATGTTTTTCGGAAGACGGGCGATCGATAGCTGTTGGCTCACATGACGGTTATTTGTATAATATCAACTCAAATGATGGATCTCTTGTTTGGTCAACAAGATCTTCTGACAAATCACCAGTGTATTCAACACCATTCGTTGTATACTTCAAGGAAATTTTAAAAGTGAGTAGATTCTTTCCTAGTTTTTCTCTTTTTTTGTTTACTTATTTATCCTAAGTTTCACTTTTTTTTTCTTATTTCATGATACTCGGTGGGTGTGATTTTATTTAATACTTTTGAGTAAATCACTTCTTTTGGTAAAACTTTGTAATTTGAATTATGTACCTTACTTGATTAAGGCTTTATATGCTCTCATGATTCTGCAATCAGTTTTTTCTTTTTGTATCATCTATGGGTTGCTTTTTTTCTGCATATTCATCTCGAAGAATATAAAAGACAGCTCAATTATATTCCAAACCAAAGCCTCTTAATTGTATCTTGTAAATTTTGCGGAAAAAGCTTTAGCCCGAAAGCCTTACAACGGCAATAAGTCCACCACTCCGACATATAGTTGTAAAACACTGGATTTGAATTTGCAAACCGCAAACTATTACAGTTCTTGTCGACAAGTGTGTTTAGATGAACAATCGGACATTACTGCGATAGTTGATATAAATGTAAATTTCATTCTACTCATATTGGAATCAATTCTTTTTAGAACATCATCGTTTTTGCTTCAACTTCCGGCCACGTTTACGTGTTAGATCAACAAAATGGCGACGTTATTTCCAAGCACATTTTACCTAAAGAAGTGTTTTCATCACCTGTAGTGGTGCTTCGCAAGTCTCACATTGAAGCAAACGATAAGACGTTGAAAATTATGGTTGGATGTAGAGATGATAGCTTATATTGTTTGCATTTATCACTGTGATATCATGGAATATAATATATATTTGATCAAGACTGAATTCTATGATCGTCGAGTTTTTAAACATATCTATCTAGTTGTTGAATGTACCTATTTCATCCTGTATGCAACGGCCCCAAACATGTTAATGATCAGTAGTAACTGGAGATGAAGGAGATCAACTTTGCGGATTGGATGTCGGTTGAATTGCATATCAGGAGCAGTGCTACGCGATATAAGAGAGGGTGAATTCCCAAAAAACAGAAACCATAGTCTTTTTTCCAAATGTTCTTAGTTCTGTTTTTTTTTTAAATTATTCTTTTTTTTTGGGGGGGGGTACTCTATTCTATGGTATGTAACTCATATGCAGCTGTGAGAAGATCTTATTTTTGGGGAGACAGTCGAATAAAATATCTATTTTTATATTTGTATTAGCACTTCGGGAAACAAACCGCAGTTGTATGGAAATTGATAAAGGGCACATATTCTATGAGCAGGAACTTTCAAATTCAACAGCAACAATAAACGTGTTATACAAACTATTTTATGTATGGATCATTTTCAAATCCTTCAATTTTGTTTCGCGATTCAGATATACCGTATTCACCGGTTTGGAAATTACCGATCAGACTTAATGCATGCATGCTGAAATCTATCTGCAATAATCGACTGCAGCTGTACTCTATACGTTGAAGAAGTGTTCATGATAGGTATTCTCTTCGGGATATTTTCTCATGAATATTCACTGTAGCAACACTCAAGAAGGCGATAAGAATGTCAAAGAAAACAGGGGTTATAATTCTCTGCATATTGATAAACATGATGTTACAAGAAACGATTATTTTTTGGCTTCACTATACGTTTTCATCCTCATGCATTTTCAATTAGGTCGTTTTAGGCCAATGATATTGCCAAATTTTCAATATTACCAGTGGGTATGTATATTGGAGCCCGGTCGCGAAGCATTTCGGTGAACTATGCAACGAATGAAGGTGTTAACCAACATATGGCGAAAGTATAATACAAATGTAAGGCAAGGGTCGCCTAACAAAGGAATAGGATGTTACTGAACCCAAACACGACACTCCAACAATCGTAAACTATATTTTAACCACGTTGCAGTTTGAATAGAATTTTTGACGCAAAGCAGTTACCCGTGATACAAGCCATTGTTTCATACGAATGACCCTACTAACAAAATGTGTAGAAATGGTGTTGTATTTCAAAGCAACCTAGGCTGGTCTTTGTTGTACAGTTTATTTTCTGTAACAAATTTTCATTTGTTTTGATATGAGCACGTGGAACGAGCGCTGATGATCAATAGAAACATTATTCATTACTATATTTATGTGTGAATAAATGTATTAAAAGTGTTCAATTTTGAATTGAGAGAAGGTAGGCTTTTGAGAAGTAGTTATTGAGAATTCGAAATAGGGGATATGGCTGCCTTTCAGAAATTATGCGCCGAGACAACTGGCTGAGAATTGAGCCAATGCTTGCTTCATCAGAAACTTCGTCTTTTTTCTGATACCTAATTGATCTGAAAGGAGACTTAACTTCACGCCATTGTGAAGTGTATATATAGTGAATTCAGCTGTAAAGGCAGTAGAAATTATTGTGAACAGACCCCAACCATATAATGGAATTGCAACGATAACTTGGTATCCAAGATAATGGCAGATTTTATCTGTTGAAGGTATAGAAAATGTAGAACCTCGTCCTTGATTAAAAATTTTGACCATATGAAATCATCTCTGCACGTCGTATTTTTTTTTTTTTTGATAATTTATCAACACTGGGTCTGACGACACATTATAGATGCGCGAAAAAGAAAATGGATTTTTGATAAGAAACTAATCGACGTAGTCGGCCTGTAAGTATTAAGATGGTGTAATAATTCTAAAGATTTGGTAAACGTTCTGCTTCAAGGAGGCTGCTTATATACGATAGTAAAATCCATTAGCCATCGCGTCATTCGATTGTTTGTTTATTTAGGTAGAAAAGGGCATAATTCCCTAGAGAATGCAACATACCTGATCTGCCCTTCCATCGGTAAAATTGGTATCTTCGCCTTCTACCAGATATATAGTTTTTGTTATTGCAATTTCTGTGTTACATGATAGTTGACTGTGTTTTGAAAAATTAGCTACATCGTCTGGTTGAATCATAATGAAATACAATTCCGGCTGCCTTATACAAGACTACGTTTGATGTCCTCTTCGTTTCTACCCAATGTTTGCCATAATGCGACTTCCCATGCAAGCATTCGTTCTTCAAATAACACAAAATTCTGGTAATTCCGCTGGTTATTTTCGAGCTCTTATTAAGGCGGATACACATTGGCGGCATTGCGCGGACCAACAAACAAATTTAATCCAGCTAAATTCATTCATACAATTATAACTTCACACATTCCTTAATGAACAATCATTGGAGTCTATTGTTGTGATGAGAGTTACCGTATATATTTTACTGGAAAATATGATTCAATGGTCGCAGACCGAGGGAATAGTAGTTCATGAGTACACTTGAAAATTCTTTCAGAGTTGACAGATGGTGTATATAAACGATGAAATCACGCTATGAAATAGTTCAGTCGCTATTATTGAACTTCATTCCTTTGAGGGGAAATATGGGAACAGGGGTGGTATCTTGAGTCAATTTAATAGCTGTTTTAGTTGTGAACGAATTAGAATTTTCTGTAAAATTATTTCCGTCGAATTCGGGGTGTTTGTTTCAGAACGAAATATCATTCACTCACAAATATATTTTATTTATATAGATTAAGCACACTGAAAATATTATATAATTGTTTATATTGAGAGGGTTTTATTTTTCGACAAGATGGGGTCTCTGTTCTGTCAGATGTTGTTCTTTTTGCCGACCCCACCAATCATTTTCTTGACTGGAGGCTTCCCAATCTAAGGGCCTGGAGCCTGAATTGCATTCAAATTATGTAATATGCTTATCTTTTCTAATTTTCAGTTTGGTATTATTGACATTTCTTCAAGTATACTCTTTTTATAAAATTTAATTCTGTGACCGCGAAATTTTATATTAACGGGAATATTACTAAATAAAACGTGGATTATCACCTCGTGGCGTGGGGCCGAATAAGAAGATGAACACACTCAAGAGGTAAATACACTATATGTTGTTTTGTTTTCATTCTTAAAATATGTTTCATGAGCTACTACACTGCTGCCATACATATTGCTGTGAACTGAACTTTGGCAAATGGTGATTATAGTTAAATAGTTATTAATCACTGGAGATGTTTGACCACATGTTCTAAAACGGCATAGCCGTATTGTTTAAGCAATGTTCCTCAAGCTGATCCGAAAAGTCCGGTCGAACTAACAACTATAAGTTACTGATTAGTTTTCATTCAAACTTCCTATACTGGTGATAATACTTCCACTGATGATTTGTCAAAACGGTAAATGCTAGTAGTTTTATATATTTTATTGTAATGCCATAGATATAAATATATATATCCATCAGTGACGTGGTTGTTTAAATATGGTTTTCCATTACCAATATGTCGTCTGCAGCCTCACTATAACAGTTGGTCGTCATTTCACGTTGAGGAAATTGTCTTGATCTTACGTTGTTAATTCAAAAAAGTTCTAGATTGTTGTGCTTTGAGGGCCAATTTCTTGATAAGCGAAGACTAGGATGTACCACTATACGCCCGTTACCTATGCATTACTGAATTACACATGCGACCTCTCATTACTTCCAACATTACCATCAAAACGTGTATTCAAAAATCTAATCATCAGTGGATTTTATCGATTTCTTTTTATATCTTATCGTGTTTTAGATGGTTATTGAATTACATTATGAACGTTTAAATGAGAAATAGCATTACGCTCATAGCGTTAGTCAGAGATTAATGGAATGGACGATTGTGATTTACTGATTTCCCTTTTTGCATTCCTTTGGGAAAATGTTGCTGAGGTGGTAGCTACAGTAGGTAGTAGAGAACTACGAGCGATGTCCTTCGCAAAGTTCGAAAAAAAGATAAGAAATTTAATGTAACTTCAAAATCAAAATAGTTATTAGATGGAAAAGTAGGGAAAAGTATTAATAATGTAAATTAAATAAAATTCCAAAGCAGTACAGAGTAGTGGTAAACTTGTATTGTAGTAAATTTGAATTGAATCGAGAGAGATAACAACAAAAGTGATTATTCATGCGGTTTAGAAAATGTAAATTTATACAAGTATCATGCCTTGTCGAGTATTTAAGTGCTCTCCAATAATGGTCCATGAGCGCGTATGTCTGATTTCGTCCTGATGCAGAAAGGGGATTATTGGTTCTGTCAGACTTGATTTACATTTCGGAAGTTCACTCGTCGTTTTACGTGTGTATTTGATTGCAGCATGAATTTTGTTAATACGACGGTACTCAATAAGTTTCTACTTTCCACAATATTTGTCTCCTTCTCTCGCCTGCAGAAACTTGAGTCATGATTTCGTGATAGATCAGCTAGCTTCGTTTCATGGCTGCCGGATCTTGTTGGAACTGGCATTTGAAACTATAGTTGAAAATATCAGTAATGAAAATGCTTTTTGCCGTATTTTACGAACGGGTCGAAAGTATTGATTATTAAGATTTGAGGTTATCAATCCTTACATATTTTTATTGAAAGAGGTACGAATACGTGGTAAAGTAAAACTTAAAAAATGAACGAAAAGTAAAATTATCGAATTATATCCGTTTTAGCATTAATATAATCATTCATATTTCGCTTTATATTTATTAAGCGTGAGTTCAACCGCGTTGAAGCGGATGAATGTTTTTGTGATTGTCAGATTTGTCGGTGTTTGAGCTATAGTTATTTCTCGTACTGTTCATGTATTTTTTTAGCACAGATCCCAGAAAAGTAGTCTTTAGTAGTAGTGTATTTGAATAGTAAACATAGCATGACGATCCCTGTTTTCTAATACATTTTTTAGTATTATTACATGAATTTGTCATTTAGTACATTCCAGCATACTTTCGCCTTATATATTATTTTTTATGTAGAATGTAGGTAAAAGGCGATTTAGACAACAAGGTGAAATGAATGCTGTTACATGAATTATTCTGCTCGATGGGAATCATATGGAAAAAACTTGTCAAATAAAAAAAAATGTTGATATATATATTATGTGTATTATATTGTTACTGTTTCACGCAGGGAGAGTTGCACGCGTAACAAATCGACAGCATGTTGAATGCGCTCGGCTATAGATTTTTTGACTCACACAAAAGCAATTTTGCCCGGCTTATTGTAATTTTTCTTCACTGTCTAGGCTCCTTCCCGATTAATTAAAGCAGAAAATTCCCCTGTGAACCACGAGCGCATGGCCTCAGACGGTTGTTCGCTTTTATATTATACTAAAATGATAGTTTATTGATCTGATATTCGCTACCTCGCTCCCAAATTCGTCTGAGCACCATTTGCACGTGCTTTTACAACAATCTATAGGCTTGCTTCGATCGACTAAAATAGCCAGAAAAGCAGTAATGCATGTTTCCGGTTTGATAGAATGCTTGCAGATCTACAAATACTCGATCATAAACTCAATTAGAAAGA